CCCCCGGGCCCCCCCCCCCCTCCTCCCCCCCATCCTCCCACACCCCGCCCCAACCCGGTCGAAAATTCTTGAGACCAGGAATAGCGAGATCCGTGGGGTAGAAGAGACCCCATAAAAAAGTCGCCTCCTGCGGGAAGGGTCGCCCCTCTACGTCCCCCCCCCCCCCACAATAAAGAGACCCCGGGGAAAAACAGCCACAAGAACCACAGACTTGGGGTGGGGGGGTTGTCTTTGGGTTTTCGGGTCCTTCCTGCTTCCTCGGGGTGCCCCTTCTTTGCTCCAGCGGGGCAGCGGGGTGGGTGGGTGGGTAGCTACTCCGGGGAGAGACCCCCCTCATCTGCCTTGGCCGTTCGTGGGAGCTGGCACAGCCCTTCCGTTAAGCGGGTGGGCATCTTCGTAAGCTGGAGTCTCCAACCTGGGGTTCTAGGGGCGAGGGTGCAGGCTCCTTTCCCAATGGGGGGGGGGAAAGGGGAGGGGAGTCTCCCCCCCTCCAAATAGCCAAGCATCCTGTCTCTAACTGAAGCGGGAAAATAGAGGGAGGGGGCTGCTGGCGGGGAGGGGAAAGGAAGAACGAGGGGGGAGAGAAACGAGCCGGGAGAGCGCGGAGCCGGGCTGTAGAAGACGCCCCCTCCCCAAAATCTTCCCTGGGATGGAGGAGAAGAAGCTCTCGGTCCCTTTCGAAAGAAAGACCCCCCACCCCCCACCCAACCAGCCCTCCGCCCTTGGTTCTCGGTCCTTCGCTGCCCGGGCTCTCCAAGCTACGGTGGGGAGAAGAATTGGGGGTCTGGGGAGGTGGTCTTATGGGGGAGTCCCGGGGAATTGGGGGGGGCTCCCTTTTACTCCCCACAACCAGCCCACTCCACCCCGCCACCCTCTGTGGAAACCCGGCCGGGGGCTTTAGAAGGGAGAAGGGGGGTGGGGGAACCCTCAAACCTCGCCCCGATCGCACCTGGAAGGTGTAGAAGCGGCTCCGCTTGGCAGGACGCGCGGGGAAGGAGGACGCCGAGCGAAGGCGGCTCTTTGGCTGCTTCCAACGCGGAGGAGAAGCGGGAGCGAGCAGAGCTGCGCGGAAAAAAAGAAGAAGAAGAAGAAGGAGGAGGAGGAGGAGGAGGAGGAGGAGGAGGAGGAGGAGGAGGTGGAGGAGGAGAGGATTTGGGGGTGAGGGGTGAGGGGGAAGAGCGCCCGCCTCCCTTGCGCTTTAGAGCGCAGCCTGGTTGGAGGCGCGGATGCCGGAGCGCAGCGCCCGAGCGCGCCTTCCGACGAGACGCTGCTCTTCTTCTGGCCCCGCTTCGGGTGGGCGAGGAATCTACAACCCCCCCGCCCCGCGCCCCGCGCTTCTCCGAGATACGACGCAGCCTCTGCTCGGCGAGGAGGATGCTCAGCGCAGGGAAAGGAACAAAAAAACCCTTCCCCACAAAAGAAACCCCCCTCTCCCGTCCCCCCGTGTTACAAGGAATGTCTGGAAGTCTGGGGAGCTGAGCGGTTGGGGAGGTTGGGAGGGAGGGGGGTTGGGAGGGGGAGGGCAGAAGGGCCGGTCATTCCAGGGAATCCCGGGGGCCCCAGGGGCTTTTGGGGTTCCCCATCGTCACAATTCGGAATTAAATTTGGCAAAGGGAGGGAAGGCCTGGGAGAAGAGGGCCTCCCCTCCCCCCTCTCTCTTTTCTCCTCCCCTTCCCCTACCTCTCCCCTTCCCCTCCCTCTTTCCTCCTCTCCATCCTTCCTTTCCTTTCCTCCCCTCCTCTCTACTTTCTTCCTCTTCTCCTCTCCCTTCCCCTCCTCTCTCTCTCCTCTCCCTCTTTCCCCCTTCCCTCCTCTCCTCCCCTCTCTCCTCCCTTCCCTCTCTCCCCCCTTACTCTCACTCTTTCCTCCTCCCCCTCCCTCTCCATCACTCGTTTCCTCCCCTCCTCTCTACTTCCCTCCTCTCCCCTCCCTTCCTCTCGTCTCCTTCCCCGCCCCTCCTCTCCTCTCCACTCCTCCCCTCTCCCCTTCTCTCTACTCCTCTCCCCTCCCGCTCCTCTCCTCTTCTCCACTCTCTACTCCCTTACTCCCTTGCCTCCTCTCTCCTCCTCCCCTCCCTCTCCTCCTCCCCTCCCCTTTAGTCCTCTCCCCTCCTTTCTTCTCCCTCTCTACACCCCTCTTCTCCCCTTCCCTCCTGCCCTCTGCACTTCATGTCCATTCTCGCTGTTACCCCAAAACAAGGGCCAGCCCCTGCCTGCTTCTGCCAAAGGGCCAACTGGGAGGCAGGAAGGCTCCCCCCCACCCCGAGATTTCAGCAAGAACCTGGTAGGGCTTTGTAGTCCCCCCCCCTCTTCCCTGCCCCTCCCCCCTCGCCCCAACATCCCTTTGGGGCGCTTCCTCCATTAAAACGAGGAGGTGGAAGAAGAAAAGGGACTCAGCCAAGGCCAGCTCTCTGGCCAAGCGTCTCCCTCATGCATGCTCTCTCTCTCTCTTTCTCTCTCTCTTTGTTTCCCAGGTCAGGAGGACCAAAAGTGATTGAAACTGACATGGACAGGGAAACTGGCAAAGAAGTCACCAAAGTCCCCTCTCCCTTCCAGAATCCTTAAATTTTAGACACTGCACAGAGAAGCAAAAACTCAGCAGCCACATGGCTTAGATGAATGTGCATTGGTTATTTTATATAGTCCAACCTCTACACCCACCTTCCTTCCTTCCTTCCTTCCTTCCTTCCTTCCTTCCTTCCTTCCTTCCCCCCTCCCCCCCCCCCCCCGGCTCCCTGGCTCCCTGGCTCCCTTCTCTTTCCTTCCTTCCTTCCTTCCTTCCTCCCTCCCTCCCTCCCTCCCTCCCCCTCCCCCTCCCCCTCGTTCTCTTTCTCCCTTCTCTTTCCTTGCCCCTTCCTTCCTTCTTCCCTCCCTCCTTCCTTCCCTCCTTTCTCTCCCTCCCCTCCCCTCTCTTGCTCCCTCGCTCCTTTCTCTTTCTTTGCCCCTCCCTTCCTCCCTTCCACAGAAAGCCAGATCCTTGCTTATCCCCAGTATAAAATTCAAAACAGCCTCATGACTTCGGTGCCATAATTAAATACGGTTCTGTTTCATCCCATTGTTTGTGGCATGTAACATATGCATCAAAATCCAGACTTTGGGGCAGGGGGACTCACTGGCTGTATGACTGGGCTAGATCTTGAACAGGTGGGGTCCCTATAGATGGTCTCTCCCACCCCCTCTGGCTGCTGATTTTGGGAATGAAAAGACAACCCATCAGTGAAAGAGAAACAGGAATATAATTTAACTTCACATTTGCTTGGGCAAATGCCTAAAATTAGACCCGATTCCAACATGCATTTAAGCATCAAAAAAGTGTTTTAAGAAGGATTTCTTCTTCCATAAGGTGATCCTCAGTGAGTGACAGATCCTAACAAGCTGGCTGGAGAAGGATGACAACATTTTCTTCTCTTTTTATCTGCCTTGAAGGAAATTTGTGGTTCTTTTTAAAACAACCAACTGTCCATCTCTGACAAGTGGAGAATGCTAGGAAGGGAGCTGTCATTGCACAGTTGTCAGAAATCAGCCAAGCGCCTGGCTTTTAATAAAAATTGGGATCCTGAAAAGAAGCCAACAGATTCATCCTGATCTTTGACACTCGGAGAAACATCCTTATGGATGGGGTCTGTAGAGAAAGAGGGAAGACTAGCCTAACTCGACTCCAGAGTCTTCTGGTGACGTGATGAAGGTGGACAGAACCATTTCTCTAGGTTGCTATAAGATGTCCCAACTTATAAGATCTACTTATGACTTATATGGGCAGGAGGATGGAAGATCTCAAAGATGAAGATCTCAAAGATGAAGAGAGGATCTCAAAGATGAAGATCTCAAAGATGAAGAGAAGATCTCAAAGATGAAGATCTCCAAGATGAAGAGATCTCCAAGATGAAGATCTCCAAGATGAAGAGAAGATCTCAAAGATGATCTCCAAGATGAAAAGATCTCCAAGATGAAGATCTCCAAGATGAAGCGAAGATCTCCAAGATGAAGATCTCCAAGATGAAGAGAAGATCTCAAAGATGAAGATCTCCAAGATGAAGAGAAGATCTCAAAGATGAAGAGAAGATCTCAAAGATGAAGATCTCCAAGATGAAGAGAAGATCTCCAAGATGAAGAGAAGATCTTCAAGATGAAGAGAAGATCTCAAAGATGAAGATCTCCAAGATGAAGATCTCCAAGATGAAGATCTCCAAGATAAAGAGAAGATCTCAAAGATGAAGATCTCAAAGATGAAGAGATCTTCACTAGAAGATGAAGAGAAGGTCTCTAAGTGGTAGGAAATTTCTCCTTAGTTCTAAGTTGCTTCCTTAGAACTTCTTAGAATTTCTCCTTAGTTCTAAGTTGCTTCTCTCCTTGATTAGTTTCCACCCATTGCTTCTTGTCCTGCCCTCTCGACGTTGCCTCTAGAGTCATTGTGAGTGCTCCATCACTGGAGGTTTGTAAGACCAGATTCAGACAACCACTTGTCTGGAATGGTGTAGGGTCTCCTGCTCGGCCAGGGGGTTGGACTAAAAGGCCTCCAAGATCCCTTCCAACTTCGTTATTCTATATTCTACAAGGTCTCTTTCAGTCTTAGGATTGTAACACTGCTTGGTTGGAATCCATTCCTTGCCTGGTATGAAGTGCACAAGGGGAAATGCTGGTGTGATGGCATCTGGCTGCATTGGACGTCACAGAGATGGAACATGGATAAGAATGTGGGGCATCAACTTAGAGTTGGGTCTAGAATAGAATAGAATAGAGTAGAGTAGAGTAGAATAGAATAATGAAGAATAGAATAGAAAAGGATACAATAGAACAGAAAGCTCAAACTGCGCAAGGAGCTGCTGATCCAGTTCTACAGAGGAATTATTGAGTCTGTCATCTGCACCTCTATAACCCTCTGGTTTGGTTCTGCAACCCAACAGGACAGACACGGACTCCAGAGGAGAATTAGGACTGCAGAAAAAACAATAGCTACCAACCTGCCTTCCATTGAGGACCTCCTTACTGCACGAGTCAAAAAGAGGGCTGTGAAAATATCTACGGACCCCTCACATCCCGGACATAAACTGTTTCAACTCCTACCCTCAAAACGAGGCTATAGGGCACTGCACACCAGAACAACTAGACACAAGGACAGTTTTTTCCTGAAAGGCATCGCTCTGCTAAACAAATAATTCCCTCAACACAGTCCAACTATTTACAAAGTCTGCACTACTATTACTATTAATCTTCCCATCACTCCTTATCGCCCATACCCTCCCACTTGTGACTGCATGACTGTAACTTTGTCGCTAGTATCCTTACGATTTTTATTGACTGTTGACTAGTAGGATTTGATTGCTTATTGTACCCTGTGACTATTATTAAGTGTTGCACCTGATGATTCTTGACTTGGGAAATCTTTGGAGATTTCCTGGTGGTCTCCCATCCCATTCCTAACCAGGTCTTTCCTGGAAGGAAAAGCGAGCCCGGGAGGGGAAACCCCCCCCCCCCCCAAAATCAGCTATGAGCCCCGTTCCTGCAGCCTTTGCAGCTTCCTTCTTCAGCATCCAGCCCCAGGGCAGGGGGTCCTGGTAGTTGCACGCGAGAGGAGGCCAGGCTACAAGGAGAGGGAGGGGGGAGCTTGAAGTGGGGGAGAAGGAGAGAGAGAGAGAGAGAGAGAGAGAGAGGCGGCTGTGTTAAGAGATATTCTTCCCCCACCATCCATGCCCTGTACAGGCACGCGAGAGGACGGGGCCCGGGGCACGGCTAGAAGCCCCTCCGATGGCCCCCACTCGCGGGGCCGGGGGAGGTGGGGGGGGCTTCTAAGCTTCTCCGTCTGGGGTGGAAACAGCCGCTTCCCTTCCAGATGATGGAAATCGGATTTAAGCCAAGCCACAAAAGGGCCTGCGGGGGGTCCCCCCCCAAAAAGCGAGATTCCCCTCTTGCAATGCACCCCCTCCCTCCCTCTCTCGCCAAGCCCGTCCACAAAGGCAGCCCGGGGGCGGGGGCGGGGGGGGGGAGAAAGGCTTTGTTCTCTTCCAAAGCCCCGTAGCCGCCCCCACTCAACCCAACCCAACCCAACTCAACTCAACCCAACCCAACAACTCAACCCCACTCCCACCCACGCCGGCTTAAGCAACCGGCCGGCTGGAGAACAAACGGCGACTTTGCGCAGCGAGACCCCCCCCCCCCACGCCTTTCTCCGTCTCCCGAGCCAGCCCTTAGCCGGGCCACCCCCTCCCCCCCCCTCGGCCGCTTCCCCTCCCCGCACCCGGGGGGTCCTTAATGCGGTCTTTGTGGACCCACTCGCTTGCAGCAGCCTCCTTCTCTCTCTCTCTTCCTCCCCCCCGCCCCGCAAGGTTGACACGGGCGTCACGTGACGGATTAAAGGATTTCAAACAGACCCCCCCTCCCCTCCTGCAGTTGCCCCCTCCCCACCCCCCTGTGGCTTCGGGAAGGGGGCGCACAATGGGTGCACAATGGCTAAAGGGTTTCAAACAGACCCCTCCCCGCCGCCGCCACCGCCAGCAGCCCCTTGGCCCCCCCACCCCAACCCAGCGGCTCTTTGGGAAGGGGGCGCACAATGGGGCCGGATCAGAGGGCTCTCCCTCCCCCCCCCCGGCTGCCGCCCCCTCCCCAAGTTTCTCAGGGCTGGCTAATAGGATTAGCGCTCCCATTTCAAGTTCGCTCCCGCGTGTAATTTCTTTTTAATTAGGATTAGGTGGCAGGGAAAGGCAAGCGAGGGTCTGGGAGGGGGAGAGGGAGGGGTTGGGGGGGGAGAGTCACCCCCCTCCCCGTTTAAGAAGAAAAGCCTCTCTTTCTTTCTCTCTCTCTCTTTCTGTCTCTTTCTCTGTTTCTTATTCTCTCTTTCTCTTTCTGTTTCTCTCCCTCTCTCTTATTCTCTCTCTCTTTTTCTCTCTTTCTGTCTCTTTCTCTCTCTTATTCTCTTTTTCTCTCTTTCTGTTTCTCTCCCTCTCTCTTATTCTCTCTTTCTCTCTCTTTTTTCTCTCTTTCTGTCTTTTTCTCTCTTTCTCTCTCTTGTTCTCTCTTTTTATTTCTCTCTTTCTCTCTCTCTTATTCTCTTTTTCTCTCTCTTTCTGTTTCTCTCCCTCTCTCTTATACTCT